TATAAAATGTACAGGATTAAATGACACTTGTACTTGCTGTCTATGAGGGATTCAGTGTACATCTTTTCTGCGAGGTATACATGTTGCCTTCGTCCATCTCCACCCCATTCCTCCCAGCACACATGTCCACAGGTTTGCCTCATTTTCCCCTTCAAGGCGTTTCATTTTTCTTTGGTTTGGGACTATCTTCAATGTTACACAGAAGTTGCAAGTGCTTTTGCTCAGTTCCTTCCATTATCATTTTTTGTAACTGTCCCATTAATTTCTTTCATAACAAGAGGTCTGACCCTGAGTTGTAATTGAATTGTATTTACTTGTGTCACACTAGGCTCCATTAAACCAGAACTAGTTCTTATCCAATTTTCAGGACCTTGGAATTTTTTAAGAGCAAGGCCTATGGGTTTTGGAATGGTGTTGGGTTTGGATTTGATGCCTTTTCATGACTGGATTAGGCTCTGCACTTTTAATGCAGCAACAAATTCATTCAGTAATCCTCCAGCCCCCATCACCTAAGCATAGATAGCCATGGTGAGGTTAACTTTGATCATTTTGAACAGCATGGCATTAGGCAGGTTCCTTTATCAAAAAGTTACCATTTGCTTCTTTATAGTTAGCATTCTGTGGAAGATCTGAGCCTGTGGAGTATTCATTATTTCATTTGTATTTCTCATTTCTGTCACCAACATATTGACTATTGTGAATTTACTCTGGTACATTCAATATCATTCTAACATGATAGAGGGCATCCGTGATTTCTATTCTTTTTCATGTAATGTTGGGGAAGTCCTTCTCTCTCTCTCTATATATATACATATATATATGTTTGTCTTATTGGTTGATAAATAAAGCACTGTTGGCCAATGGGGAAGCAAAATGGGTGGGACTAGGAGTCAAGGATTATGGGAAATGTAGTCAAGAGTAGAGTGGGTCACCATGTGATCCCAGGAAGAGAGGACGCATGAGGCTGGCGTCCTTGGTAAAATAAGAACTTATATATATATATATATATATATATATATATATATATATATTAGTTTATGGATTTTAGACATAGATCTGGGGAGTGCCAGCCTACAATCCCATGACCAAAGAGTCTGGGAAACAGAACCTTCATTCAATGGCTGATGGAGGCAGAGGCAGACTCCCACAGCTAAACACTGAGCTGAACTCAAGGAATCCAGTGACAGAGAGGGAGGACTGATGAGCAAAGGGGTTAAGTATTTGTGTGTTATTTGTGGTTGACGAGGCTCTGGGACGAGGCTGGTGGGAAGAATGCTCGTTACAATATAGCTCCAATTAGAACTGATGATTTGCTTGTTTATTAGCCTAGTTATATACAGCAGCTGCCTGACTTCCCTCTTGACCACAGACCTCATACAGGTTCTCGTGACTAACTCATGGTGCATTAACAGTCAAATCATTGTGGTATGGTGTGAATACCTTTCCCATGGTTTTCCCACATCTCCCATCCCCACTTGTCATTTGTAGTTTAATGGATAGGGAGGTAGTGAGTGTTTTGCCCCATGGGTAAGATAGAAGCATACAGTGATTTCATATGAATTAAATGGTCTGTGTCATCAATTAATGAACAGATTAAGGAATTAAAGAAATGAGTATTTTTAATGCCTTCACGATGCAGTTTCTCTTCAAGTAACAGCATTGTTTAAGTAGTAGTTATTTCTTGTTAATAATCATCTACATTACTGCACATAATGAACTTTTTAACATTCTTGATCAAATAATGGTTTTTGAAAAGCTACACATAGGGTGACTGTTTTTTTACAAAGGCAATTATATATTTTAACAAGAATATCTGAAAACATGATGGAAGGAGGATCAAAACCACATCAATAAATAGCATGGAGATTTGTACTATGTTTTCAGGAGGTAAAGGATGTTATACAAGTGCCTCAGCCTTTACACTAACAGAGAATACTGTGTATGCAGTTGCTATAAAAATGTATTTGAAGGCAGAGTCACATGGGACGGCCATATTGTTGTCAAAATCTCAAGTAAAACTTTGTCAAAAGTTTGCTCTCTAGTTACATCTCTTCAGTTTCTCTGATACAGTTGTTATTCATTGGTAGTTGTTTCATCCTGTGGGCCAGCATATGCACTACAATACAAATCATAGAGTGATGATCCTGTCCTTTTAGGGAAACATATTGGTTGATTTCACATTGATCTGTGGCTAGAATTGCCATTATGAGGAGGTTCAAACTCAGATACCAGTGTATCTCGACACAGTTACAAACCTTTCTTTTGTGACTAACCCTCAAGGTTCTTTTTTCTGAACTTGATGGCCTGGTGGTGGTGGTCACTCTCGGTGTAGTAAGCCAGCAATGATGTGTGGAGGAAATTGGATGGCTGGGCTCTTAAAAGCTGCTTTCTTCTATCAATGTGCTGCCATTTCTGTCCTTAGTACTAGGAGTGCAGTTAGCTTTCAGGTATAGAGCAGTCAAAGTAGGAACATTTCACACTTGTTACCATTTGGATATGGGTCTTCTCCAAATGAAGTGTGTTAAAGGCTTAGACACCAACCTATTGCTCTACTGTCAGTGGCAGAACCTTTGTGAGACAGGGCCTACTGGAAGAAAGCTAGTCATTAGCAACACGTTGGGACCCTGGCCCCTTCCTCTCTCTTGGTGCTTCATCTCTTTCCTGAAATAACAGTAACCTCAGCCAAGTGCTTCCACTATGATGTGTTACCTTGTCAAATGCCCCAAAGCCACAGACGCACAGTGCCAGAGGGCCAAGCCTCTGAAATTGTGAACCAAAGTGAGCCCTTTCTGTTTAGAAATTGATGATAACACATTTATTCACACTTCAGTGGACTTCAGACATTGCCAACTGTTTATTTTACCCACTAAGTCAATGAGCATAACTGTAACTGTCTTGCTTGAGTAGACCATTTGGACATCAACAAATGCCCTCAAGTTCTAGGACTGGTCCAAGTCCTTCAGGCTGTACAATTTGTGGGAACAAGTTACTTACTAGTGTGTCAGAAACCAGTGACGTCATCAGAAGCCAATGATGTCATCAAAAGCCAACGATGTGCTTTTGCTTGGTAGTTATAGTGGCAGCTACATCTGAATGGTATGTGCACAAAGCTGCTCTCAAATGTCACTATTCATAAGCGTCTGCTTCTCAGTGGTTAAGGCCAAGGGCTCATTGGGGTGACACATTCTCTAGTCTCTGAAATCTAGCAGTGTTTTGAACTGATGGATCATGTGGAGCTGTTGGTGAGCTGGGATGCTGCCTCTTCCTCTATGACTCTCTCCCTCCTCCCTCTCCCCTCCATCTCCTTCCTCTTCCTCTCCCCTCTCCCTCTCTTCTTCCCCCTCTCCTCCTCCCTTTTTCTCCCCTCCCTCACCACTTCTTCCTTCCCTGCCTGTTTATCTTCTCTTCTGCCAGTCTCTCCATTTCCCCTTCCTCCCCCACCCTTCCCCTTTCTTCTTTTCTTTCCTCTTCCCTGCCTTCATTCTTTGTCCTGCTTTCTCTTTTCTCTTTCATATTTCCTTCCTTATCCCCTACTTCTCTCCTTCTTCCTCTTCATTTCCTCCCTCTCTCCTTTTTCATCCTTTCTTCCTTTTTTATCCTTTCCTCTTTCCCCCTTTTCTCCTCCCTGAATTTGTTTCATTTAAATAAAGTCTGTGATCTCAAATCTATGGTTTAATATTTTGTCATCATGTTCTTCTCTTGTTCTTTCAATACATAGATTCCACCATATGTGTGTGTATGTGTGTATGCGTGTGAGAGAGAGTGTGTATGTCTTTAATGGATATAAAATATATACATATATAATATATGAATGAATTATATATTTATAATCATTTATATAATTTATATATTATATATTATGTATTTTATCTACTATATTATAGATTATACACACTCTTTCACACACATACACACACACACACACACATATATATATGACAGGAGGGGTGATGCTGGAGAGATGTCTTACTGGTTAAGAGCACAGGTTGCTTTTCTGATTTCCATAACCCCCATGGTGGCTCATACTTACCTGTAACTCCAGTCCTAGACTGGAGTAGACACCCTAGACGAGTAAACACCCTCTTCTGGCCTCCTCAAGCCCTAACTATGGGCACATGGCATACAGACATACATGCAGACAGAACACAGAACACCCACACACATAAAATAAAAATAAGGGCTAAAGATTTCCACATACGTTTGTTATTGCACATTTTTCACAGTCAAGTGGTCATGACTGTCCTTGTACGGTGCTCACACAGCTTTTGTTTTCATAGTCATGCTTGGCTGCGACTCTGTAGAGTTAGGTAGGTTTCCATGGTGTAGCAAGAATTTCATGAACCTGGGCAGAAAACCACTAATGTGCTCATACACACTTGCTGCCCTGGGGATGATGCTACTGTTTCCACTGACCTGCTGCATGTATTGAGGGAAGAAAAAATGGGCTACAGTGCTTTCTTCAAACCTTTATACACTTTATAGAGTGTATAAAAGTCAAGTACAAATGTCCACAGACTCAACACAGTACCTGGCAACCAGGAAGCACTTGATAAATGCATATCAATTGTTGTTGTCTCTTATGCTAATACAGTTCTCCACAGAATGCTTTAAAATGTGAAGGTCAACAGCACGTCTGTTTAGCTCAGTGATTCCCAACCTTCCTGATGCTGCCACCCTTTTATACAGTTTCTCATGTGGTGACCCCCAACCATAAGTATTGTTCTTGTTACTTCATAACTATGATTTTGCTACTGTTATGAATCATAATGTAAATATCTGTGTTTTCTAATGGTCCTAGGTTACCCCTGTGGAAGGGTCATTCAACACCTCCAAGGGGTCAGGAAACATGCTGAGACTACTGTTTTAGCTCATACAGAGCTGTATGGACCGTGTCTGATTCAGCTCAGGGTTGAGGCATTTACCCTTGAAAAGGGAATGCTTTAGGGCAGTGTGGGGGGACGGTACCTCCTGAAGGGCTAATGGTCTTCTCTCCTCCTCAGGTGTCCTGTTTTCCCTGGTGGTGATGCTGTATGTCATCTGGGTCCAGGCGGTGGCTGACATGGAAAGTTACAGAGCCATGAAAATGAAAGACTGCTGGGACTTCACCCCTTCTGTTCTGTATGGCTGGTCATTTTTCCTGGCCCCGGCCGGCATCTTCTTTTCTCTGCTAGCTGGGTTGCTGTTTCTAGTTGTCGGACGGCATATTCAGCTGCATCACTAAGTGTTGCCACTCCGGGTTTCAAGGCACCATACTTCCGGTTTCCATTTTGTGTTGGTGATGAGAATCAGCAAAAAATCAGCTGATGTACATTGAGAGTTGTTATTTTTTAATGAATCGTTTTCCTTGTGGTTTCCCCTCTAGAACCCAAAGCTGTCTGTGCTGGGGAGGAATTAGTTCCCTAGGGAGCAGGTAGTGGGCCGGTCATAGAGTTTGGAGTAAGTGCAGGGTGCAAATGCAATCGTCCACCGCGAGCTAAGCTTAGGCTGAACATCTCCTCGACATTCACTTCTGCTATTTTATTTTTTAATAAGGAGAGTAATTAAGACTGGAAAGCAAATGGCAGATGACTGAGTCTGTTTCTTCTCCACCTACGTGCCCATCCACAGACACACACTTAGCCGCCGACTCTGTGAGCAAATGATTCATCATTTAAAAATAGATAGCTGTTGTTCTTGCTGTCGGAACCTGAGTTCAAATGGGCCACAGCAGTAGTACCAAATGTACTTATTCTAGTTTATTACCGGCTGTGTCGTCTGAGTTTCCTTTCGTCATTATGCATGCTTCCAGAAACCTCACACCATTGAAAGCAGCACATCCACACGTCAAAGTGTATATAATGCAGATTAGAACTGTAGGAAGGTACAGGGGCCTAACCCTGGATTGTAATACCGTTTAAAATATGGAAAAGCCAAGCGCCTCATCTGAGCACATAATTCTGTTTGATATTTTAAAATTCCCATTTAATACTTAAATTGCGAAGATGTTCAGCACATTTAAATTTATTGAGAGAACGTGCTTTTAATATTCCCCAGCTATAAAGTTTCCAGATATTTCCATGTGAGGATTGTAATCGTCTTGCTTTATGAAGACCATGGCATATTAACTTTCCCCGACATTTTACAGGATCCAGTTCTTCCGATCATTCGATTCTCATATTGTCCCTCAATTTCTCCCTCTTTGCAGTAGATGCATTAACACTCACAGATCCACAATTTCCTCTAACCTCCTGCAAGAAAAGGTTTTATGGGGGAAACATAATTCTTTATCATTCACTAGCACATCCATTTTGCATATCAAAGAGTTTCATTTGCCAGGATTGTTGATTGAAATCAAGCCCATCTGAGAGGCTTCCCTCTGCTGGTACTTGTGTTCTGGAAGTTTCCATCAAGGAGAGGTTTGGTGTTAGTGATGAACAGAGAAATACACAGCACTCGATCTTTGTTCGGGACCTAGTGATGCCTTCTGCTGTTGTAGCAAGAAGGAAAGGCAGCACTGAGGCAGGGGGATGACCATCTGGAAAGTGGTCTGGGAAGGAGGGTTAGGTTTTCTGCCCTGTTGTAAGTACAGTGGTGAAACTGTCTCAAACTTCCTCACAGCCTGCTATATACACGGGGAGAACTGGAAGAGTAGCAGGAGCTTGAGGTGTCTACTCGCTATGAGGGCATTTTAGTGACCAGACTTGCCTGAAATAGAAACAGCTGTTTGTAAAGCTCCAGGGGTTTAGCTCATCTCACAAGTAACTTCAAGGACACTGATGTATTTTCGTGCTATTTTCCCTTTGTCATCTTCTGTTTCCTTTTGATATTGCTTCATTTCTTTGGCTTGGTTATCAGAAAAATAATTCTGGGTTCTGTTATGCATATTGCCCGTGATATTAAGCTATGGCATGCGATTAACTTTTCCAGACGATGCTTAGATGTATCTGGTTAGTTTGTGTCATCTGAACACGCAATTCTTTTTTGTAGAACTTTGGAATGGAACCTTTTTCCGGACTGTATGCCATTTAAATTTCACATGCAAGCTGTTTCTAGTAAAAGTTTGAATATTTATAAACTTCAGATGGTTGCCCTTATTTCCTAATTCACTTATGTGGCTACTGTGTGTTTATCATAAGGCAATTGGCCAAGTAGCTGATGGGTCTGACAATTCACACAGATCCACCCCGCAGAAGTCTTTTTGAGTTGTAATGTGACACTCACACTGATGCTAAGTACCGTTTTCAACTGCTTAAGAAGTGGACAGGATGCGGGTGAGTCATGTTTGCTGTGTTGATACATAAACTGTTTGCTTGGAAAATGAGTGTAACAGCTTCATGTCTGAGGGGCACTGCATTCAGATTGTCCATGCAATGTCTATTTCTCTTTGGGGTACACTGGCTCATTTTGGAAACAGGAAGGGAAAGGTTAAAATTTCTTAAGAGTGTTGATTTTTTACTATGACTTTTCCAATTAACAAATGTGATGCCCCTTCAGTGACTCAGGTGAAAAGATTGAGTAAGGAAGGCAAGGTGGAATGGCTTGCTGTTTCTAACAGCTGTGATGTCTGTGTGTATTGGATCTTCTCTGTGAGCTAAGGTCAATCAGTGCCATATAACACATGAATTAAAGCTGGCTGGAGAAACTACATGGTGCAACTTAATGATGGGGTTCAGCTTAGGTTTGGATGGCAAGGGTGTCTAAAATAACGTACTATCGGGTGTGCTTTCCATGATCATTTCTTTACCATGAATCTGTGAGACACTGTGTTGAATTTGAAGGTTAAATTCACCTGTGAAGGAATACAGTAGAGAAAATAACACCATTTGACAATTACTATTAAAATGTACAGGTGTGTATGTATGTGTGGTAGGGGAGAGAGTGATCAGAGAGAGACAGAGTAGGACACACACACACACACACACACACACACACATACACACATACACAGAGGGAGACAGAGAGACACAGATGAATGTTATGATTATAAGCATGGGTGGAAAGGTGACCTGTTGGGTGTCATCAGTGTATGTGAGCTGGGCCAGCTTTACAAAGTTACAGTGATGCCATTATCTCTGGATGCCACCTTAACAGCATCACTCAACTGATGATGATTTATTTATACTTTGATTTATATTTTCATGAAAGTTACCAAACTGGGCTTATAAGGGAACTTAGAATGCCATAGACAAACACAGATGACAGAGCGATAGCCTGCAGTAGGAGGAATTGTGGGAAAATATCAGTAGTGTTGGAACACAAAGAAATGAGCAAAATCGATTCCAAATTTGCTCTTGGTGGGAAAGAGAGGTTCATAAACATGAATGGAAAACTTAATTCTCACTACCAGCCAGGAGGAATGAAATGTGTGGAAATAGTCCAGTGATGGTCAAATGTAGGGAGAAAAATCCTGAAAGAACTTAGGAAGATGGTGTCTCACATGTTCACAATCAGGGAGGGCAGAGAAATAGTTTATGTGTTTCATGTTATAATGCACACATATACTAAGCAATGAATCCTTTAAAGCCCTTGGAAGGAAAGAAAGGATAGAAAGGAAAACTTCTAGTCAAGGGTATACAAGAGCAGTGGTACCCACTGACATCTCAGGTTCTCAGAGCAGAAGCAGGTGGATCTCGGGGTTCAAGGCCTCCTTACACCACACAGTGAGTTCAAATCCAGCCTTTGCACGATAACAATATCCTGCTTCAAATAAAACGGGAAAGGAGGGCTGGGGATATAGCTTAATGGTAGAGGTCTTGCTTAGTGTGTTCCAAGTCCTGTGCAATCCTTAGATACTGAAGAAGGGTTCAGAGTTTCTGAACTGGTTGACAGACGCCAGAGCTCTGGTTCCTTCTTCAGCATGAGTTTCCTGTGGGGCATGTGTGGTGGTGGGTACTGGAGAAAAGTCTGAACAACAGCAGAACACTCTGGCTGACCAGCTGTGCCTTTCCAGTTTCCTGTTTTTCTCTCTCTTGTGGCAGTATTAATCCTACTGGGTTCTGTGAACTCATTCTCTGGTCACTTTGCATTTTGGATGGCATGGCTGAAGGTAATAAAACTGTGTGAGGGACCAGAGTTCTAATCTTGCATTTCTCAGAAGGCTTTGGAGGACTGGTTTTTGAAAAAAGCGTTACACCTGTGCATAGAAGCATAGGGTAAATCTAACAGGTCTACTACTTCCATTTACTTATTTAGATTATGTAATTTGGTCCGCATGTAGAAAAATTGAGCTATGTACAGTTTAGCTGTAGCTATGTGATATATTTGTGAAGTGTCTTTGTAAGTCACTGGTTAGAATGACTGCATCTTCCTGGTTAAATAGGAATATGACTGGTCTCCTGTTTCACACATGTGACCAACAGTCAAGCAGGCAGGTGGGAGTTCCTCAGCCTGCATCGATCTAGACATCATATTGCTAAAGGCAGAGGGTGACTCATGAGGACAAGATAAGAGAAACACAGCAATGATTTTATCCCTGTTCTGCATCCATGCATCCAGGAGTTATTGTGTCTTAAATCAGTGAGCAGTCTTGTTTTGCCTGACAGCTCCTCCCTCCCTCCCTTCCTCGTTTCTTCCTTTTCTTTCTTCTCTTTCTTTTTTCTTTCTCCCTCTCTCTGAATATCTTTTTCTGTTAATTCTAAACTGAGGCTGTAAATGTTGACACTCTGTCAATGACTCAGGTTGTCTTGGCATTAAAACTTCCTAAACACATAGGTGTTTAAACTGGGCATCTTAAAAAGAATCAGGTTTGTTGCCTTGTTTGTTAGTGTGATCTACAGAGGGACAATAAAAATATTGATACATTGTCTCACTTTCCAAAAAGACTAGAAAAGTTTGTCTCAAGGAAAATATTTGTAAATATCTTAAAAGGATTAAGTATAAAGTTGGGTTAATTTGCATTTATGCATATTTGTGTGTAGTAGAATTAATTTATATGAAAGAAGTATTTATGTATTATATATATACATATACACACACATACGTGTATATATCCAAATATCTATTTTTCTTGGGTCTTATGGAGCTCTTAAATGTCACTAAAGTGTAGAGCACCTGGTGGTAAGCAAGGAGTGAGGCAGTGTCTGTTAGTCTTAGCATTTCTCTGCTCCTTGGATCCAGACATATGTGGTCCTGCATGTGCATTTGACACCTAATGTCTCCCTATAATTTCCCTGGGCAAATGACCACTGCTTTTTTTTAACATCTTCTGGGTACCACCTAGCAATTGATGGCTGATAAATACTGATTTAATACTTATAATTCTTTAGACACATAATTCCTTCCTGAGTAGCATATCTGGTTTATTTGTTTTTGTTTTTTTCTGCAGAACATCAGGTCAACTGGGTTCAGGGTGAACTGCTTATCTGGGTCTCTACAAGGAGACTGGCATGAAGTGCATGGGAAGGCAGCAAACCTTGGTCTGAAGATCTGCTTTCCAACCCCAGGTCTTAAACATATAATGCAAAAGTTATTGCACTCTAGGATGGGTCAGTTTATTTAGTTCATTCAACAGCCTGAATGTTGAACTTGCACTGTGTCACAAATAGTGGTAGGTACTGTATATATAATACTAAATAAAGCAGGCCTGCTGTTTCCATTCTTCTGTGTAGGGTTCATACAAGGGCTGTAGACAACACATGAAGAAAAATAAGTAGAACAAAGTCACATTCTATATTACTCACTGGCAAAGTACCTCACCAAGATCCTGGAGTCACCGCAACTGAAAGATAAATCTGTTAAAATTTTGAGTAGCAACAGAAATTGACTCACTCGGTATGAGAATGCTGCTATGCCTAGAACATTCCATCTTCCTTAGGAAGTTAAATGCTCCCTGATGTGCTTTTCTCTAGAAGGGTTTAAGAAGAAATTTGAGGTTTACTTCTGAAGCTTGGAGTTTCACTCCTATCCAGACAAATCACAGTGGCTCCCACTGGTGTTTGGAGAGATCACAGCTTGGTGCTAAGGACGATCCGAAGGCATACCTATAAGTTTCATGGGGCTGGGGTGGGATGTCAAGGTCAGCCTGGGTCATCTGGAGAGATCCTGTCTCAGAATTAAAAGGAGAAATGAAAGAAAAAGCAAGAGAACAAACAATCCGACGACTTACTCTAGTACTACAATAGACCCAGGACCTGAAATTCTGCAATATTGAAGTTGTCCATTTTTGGTCTAAGAAAATACTTGAGACATAAAGGAAAATATAGCTTATTAAAAGGGGGTTATAAAGTGAAATAATATGAAGGAGGATTTTAGATATGGGCTTAAGTTGGATTCACAGAAGTTCTGCTATATTTTAATCTATATCTTGCTCATTTTGAGTTGTGCTCAGTGAACCAGGGCCTCACACATACAGGGCACACCTCCATGTCTGGCTCTAGCTACATCTAAACCTAGCAGGCAGAACAGGGGAAAAGCTGTTTTTCTACTCCTTGCGTCCATATGGCCACTGGGGGGCTGTACTATGCCATGTTATAGATTTTGACTTACACAGTCCCTAACACTTTACAATCCACAGGTAGCTAGATATTTTGAGTGAATGCTTTTGCTCGATTGCTTAGTTACAGTGTTGTTTTCATAATGGAATATTCAACTTTAGGGCTCAGATTTCAGTATCTACCAAGCTCGCTCAAATATAGTTTCCTAGGTGACTGCCTAATCCACACAATAGGACATAGGAAAAAAATGTTAATCAAATCTTCTAATTCTCCAAGCTGTTTTGCTTTACAAAAGTAATACATATTCATGGATATTCAGTGGAAAGGAACACCAAGACAGCGACAAATGACACTGTCTTCTACCACTAGGAGTCAGAAGCAGTTCTAATACGTAACCAGGAGGTTTTGCAGAGTAAGTTTTGTAGACTTAGGTAGTGTGTGTGTGTGTGTGTGTATGTGTGTGTGTGTGTGTGTGTGTGTGTACTTTATGTGTATTTTAAGTGTTTTGTGTGTGCTTGTATGCTATGTGTGTGTGCTGTATGTGTGTGTTTTGTGTGTGTTATGTTCCTGTGAGTGCTTGTGTGTTTCTAAAAATATTTCAGGTTTTTAAAAAAGCTTTATTTATTATATATACAGTGTATGTCTGCA